AGTGTTTTCTTCCCAAATTGACCATAAAATCCATTCTCGGCCTTTCTATTCCTCTCATACATCCCTCCAGCAGTTCCGTTATCCACTTCAGTTTTTGGGCAAGATGTTCGTCACATCTCAATCGTCTCATGTTGGCTCTCTTCGATTATTTTAGGACATCTTTATTGTTTAGTTAGTCTATTCTGTTCTCACCATTCGACACCAATTCTTTGATGTACCATCATACCATGATCTTAGGAATAGTAATGTGGTGGTTTTACCTTTACTTCTACCTTACAGAATAGTATTTCTTTTCTATGCATGATAAATTCCTCAAGAAGAATTACAAGATATTTTTTAAAATGTAAATGACAGACAACGAGTGTCCTCTCTTTTTTCTTCTCTCTTTCCCCTTCTAAGAGGGAAGACGTCCTCGAGTACCTGTCACCTGAGCAGAGGTCTGCTCTGAAGGAATTCTTCGACATGGCAATAGTCCGAGAGATCTGTCCGACTTCAGGGCGGAATGTGACAACGAACCAGACGACCCTCAGTGGGATTCGTCTGATGTAAATAATTTTAAATTTTCATTCCATATATAATCCTATATTTGGTCACACACCAGCATATGTTATACAAACGACCCTTCTCGTGCATCCCGCGGATGATTTGTTTACAAGGAATTTTATTTTCTAGAAGAAGATAGGCGAACAGCCTCATCGAATTATCGAATTTTGTTTTTAATAAATATATTTGATCCAAAATATATGCCTTCATTTTAATATAATCCTATATAATCTTATATGAACGTTTAATAAATACGTTTCAATCTCATTCTCTATTTATTATTATATATACTATTATTAAATAAAGACTCATTATGTACAAGTCATTAGCTATTTTTTCGCTGTCATACATACCACAAAGTCTTCTTTTTTTTGCCTGACACATTTGTAAATGCAAAGTCGAACTGCTTTTCACATGTGTAGACATGTGGTGCACTTACAGTAAAAGCAGTCGCCTACTTCTACCCACCATGATTATCATGGCCTATACCACGTGTACTAGGGATAAGCTAAAAAAAAAAAGGCTTCTTCTCCTTCTTCTTTATAATCTCTATACCACAGTCATACCACAAAGTTAGCTACAGAACAACATTTCGCTATTTGAAATGATTCTAGGGGATGATGAGTCACTTCAACTCCTGACTAGAAAAGCTCACGTACAGGTGGCCGCCAGGTATTCATGTATTAATCAGCTACAGAGAGAAAATAGAGGTAACCCGGGCTCCTGGTGCGTGAATCGCATCAGCTACAGTGGGGAGGTCTACACAAGTGACGCCTACGATTATGATGATTCTATGTAGATAGCAATGTTGATCTAGAGGAAACATTCAGGTTGTACTTATCATGTTAAACAAACACTATGTTTGTATAGGTGACATTCGAAGTTTTGGAAATATTTTTAGAAAATGGATCTCAAAAATATATTTGTAATTTACTATCCGAGAATTCAACAATTATTTGTTTATAAAGTAATAATTTGAAGAAGGAAAAATAAAAACAGGCAAAAAGTTTCTTTTAATTTTGGATTTGTAAGCTTTCGAACAAATATACTGCTCTTCAACGGCTAATACTCTATGTACAATCTCTTAATTATCTTTATCTACTTATATATTTGCCTTATTCTGTCTGTTTGTCTGTTTGTCTGAAGCTCACGGATAGAATGCGCGCTCATTGGCTGCCAGGGAACACGTGTCCTCCCTGCCCCCCTCTAGACAACCCTGTTATTCAAAAACCATACATCCAATCGCCATGGAATTCTGGGATATTATTAGGTATATCCCCGGAAAGGTTTTCGAAAAATAATTTCTTGAATATCTTGAATATCCTTAGAGTTATTTGCAGAATTGTAGATATAACTCGCAAGCAGCGCCGCCAGACGGTGATAGGCTTAAGCTTGCTGCTCCACCCCTGTTGACCTTGGGTCATCGTGTGAGTCACAGCATGATGCAACAAAAAACACTCTCTCTGGGGATTGCGGCGTCAACAACCTGTAAGTTTGCCTCTCTCATAAACCTGTCTATACAGACCACCCTGACTATAGCGGTCACCTTAGGCAACCCTGTTATCAGCAGTGTGATACATCCACCTGTCTATACAGACCACCCTGTCTATAGCGACCACTCTAGACAACCCTGTTATCAGCTGTGTGATACATCCACCTGTCTATACAGACCACCCTGTTAATAGCGACCACCCAAGTCAACGTTTTTAAAATATATTCGCACTCGGGTAAACCCCGGGCGTTGCCCGGGCCATTCGTCTAGTACAAAATAATTGAAAAACTTTTCGTTATCAGACTGGCGTGCATCAGACTGTTTACAGCTAAAGTAATAGATATTATACTGGGATGAAATATATAAACACAAAAATAATTATTAATATTTAGATAATTTGTCAGGGATATTGTTATATTGGGTTTAAAGGTCAATTTTTCTATTGATGCTATTTATTTTTGATGATACCAGTGCTTCCAGGAATAATCATTGTTGCTTGCTTTTTATGTCGTGATAATGGTCTAGAGACATCTATTAGAGGTTGTTTTTAACAGGAATGAAATGAAATTTTGCGGAATAGCTAGATACAATTTTCTACAAATCAACTGATGGGTATATCGACATTTGATAAAGCCACATATCACATAAAGCGTAAGCTCAGGCTCAGATGTTCTTTACATTGGTGCCAGAAAGCCTACATTTTACATAATATAATAAAGAAACGTTTGTACGTGGTTTTGTGAAATATCGATTTATATTTCAAACAGTTATTTTACGAAATGGTTCAGTGTAATCGAGGATGTGCTATGTGAAGAGCGAATGTACCTATTTCGACACATTTTTTAAAACAGAATTGAGGATACATATGTAAATAGGATAATTTCAACGATACTATTGTACCAATTGTGTCTGCAAATAGTACATGCGAGATCGCCCAGAGATATAATCACCTTTGATCTCTCCTAGTTTTGAAGGTTTATTCATTTTTGATTTTTCACAAAGGTGGCTGTTCATGGGGATGCTATCCTATAGATGGTCAAAATAGTCAAATGTGTTTACCTTCAATTTCAATATTGAAAATGTTCATAGATCATATTTGGTGAAATGAATTTTACTTTAGAGCCTGTTGATGGCACGTGTCTACGAGCTAGTAGATTCAACATATTCCAAGAGGATGCTACCAAACGCCTTGTGTTGAAGGTGATCAATCCAATGGATAAATCTTTAGGAAATTATGCTAATCTCACCATTCTGATGGAAATCTTAGAATTTGTACTTGAAGCGGGAAGGCATTGAATAGAAATCAAGGTGGTCTAGATTCTTGAAACGATGCTATTGACTGGAATTATCCTCATTCAACCACGAGGTATTTCGGATATTTCTCTGCGACATTCAGAGTGGAGGACAGGTGATGAAAATTGTTTGCACATCCGTCTTCCGCCGACGCTTCCAACGCCTATTCACGTAGGCGAGCCAACATTCTAACAATTATGTGTTGTTAGGGATATCGTTGGTATAAAATGAGTTTAAATTGGACTTTGAACTTCAGTAATATATAAGTTTTAAACGTTAAAATTTGAGGGAAGGAATAGGCGTAGAATGAAATGGGCAGAATAATTGCCATTGCAAGTTCCAGGAAAAAGGGAAAGTGGGGAGATTAGGCAAGTAGCCCCGGTGTTGCCAAACAATTCTCTTCTCCCAATTTGGCCCCACTTTCCTTGCCTCACGTCACCCCCCCCCCTCCGCCTCCTGCTAGGGACCGTCGGTATAAAACCCCCGGCTTTTGATTTCTTACTTTCTCCTTACTTGTTTGGACGACTACTGTATTGTTCGGTGTCTTAGAATATTGAAGCCATTTAGAATATTGTTCTCTTCAAGGAACTCGACCTCCTACCAAAGCAATGTAACCCAACGATTGAAAACTTTGCTCTTTAAAGTGTCAGTTGGTCTGATGCGCTAAATTACCGTTGCCTTGACCCAGGCTTAAAATTCCACTGAAAATTACTTTATAAAGTAATAAAATGCTTCTATTATTATTCGATTCTTTCACAAGTTCTGCCCTTCCAGTGAGGACAAGTAACCAAATAAGGTTCCTATACCTTGCAATTGTAAAGCCAATTTGGTTCTATATATCTAGATAATTGACAAAATGATTTTTATTGACATCTTGTCAATTACATAGGTACACACAGTATACACAATTATTAACACAAAGCAATAACGCGCCATCTATACATATAAAATAAAAGGATTTAAAAGCGCGAATGTTTCTTTTATACATAAAACGAACTTCTACTGTCCTTACTGCGATGAAAAAATATATTGGGAGGGCTTGGCTCATCAGTGGTGAACCCTCCCAGCGGTTTCGCCAATTTAATCCACCAGACCGCTTCTCAGAGCTCTAATATTGTATTGGATCATTCTGCTTTTATATGCTACACTGAAGGATGGAATCTTAGAAATGGTTTTCAAGTAAACTATGGACATAAGCTTATAGGACAGTAGAATTTAATTCAAATATTTGCTTCGAGCAATGCTCTTCAGCAAACTATAAAGACAAGGCCATTAGGAATAATGCTGGGAGGGTTCACCACTGATGAGCCAAGCCCTCCCAATATATTTTTTCATCGCAGTAAGGACAGTAGAAGTTCGTTTTATGTATAAAAGAAACATTCGCGCTTTTAAATCCTTTTATTTTATATACACAATTATAAGTGCAATGATAAGATGATGTTAAAATGTATATATAAATGCTATGTACAATGAATATGTACACACGTAGACTCTGCCACTGATTTAACTATATATGTAGTATACTTAAAGTTATAAGAGAGAGAGATTTAAATAACAATGGTAGCAAATACAGTTATGTTAAACCAAGAGGCTCGCCCAACGACAAAGAGTCCTCCTCCAGACAGTAAGGAGGCTTTCGCACTCTCCCCTCACCTCGAAGCAAAAAAAAAAAAAACGACACCGGGAATCGAACCCGGGCCTCCTGGAAGAAAGCCAGGTATCCTAGCCACTAGACCCTGCCGGTGATCCATGTTGGAGAAAGAGCGTTCTCATGCCCATACTCACCATAATTATCAGGCTCTGTATACTTGGAATTTACAAAGTTTTTCCTTAAAAAAAAAAAAAAAAAAAAAAAAAAACAAGAACTTTATATAATGAAATAAAGAAAAAGGCATCTCCTTATCGTGCAACTGAAAGTTGCTGATGGCTTGCGCCATCTATCGGAATAAATATCAACTATTCTCGTTGATTTTTAATTTTTCCAGAATTGGCCAAATACCGTATCAGTTTGATAAACTCTGGAATAATTGGAAAAAATCAACGAGATTAGTTGATATTTATTCCGATAGATGGCGCAAGCCATCAGCAACTTTCAGTGGCACGATAAGGAGATGCCTTTTTCTTAATTTATGCACCTTATCCCAGTACAATGTTACATTTGCACTATTTTTTCACTTTATATAATGAGCTTGGGTTTTTTTTTATCCTATAACATTCGTGCTTTAAGAAAAAATAGTAAAAAAGTGATTTTATACTGGGATCAGTTTGATAAATTCTGGAATAATTTGAAAACATCAACGAATAGTTGATATTCATTTTGACAGATGGCGCAAGCCATTAGTAACTTTAAGTTGCACGGTTAGGAGATGCCTTTCTCTTAGTTTGTGTTTTAGGTTCTTGAGGGTAAATTTTCAGCTAGTATATCTCTCGCTATGACTGCAAATATATAGTATTTTATCCAAAGACATTTCAGAAGAACCAGAGAAATGGGATCAGGTTCTAAACAATAAAATTCGGGCATGTCGCCTCCCAAATACCTCTATACAGAAATTTATATTTTCAGTTTTTTATATGTAGTACCTGGGCAGGACTAAAGTTAAAAATAACTTTATTGGATACCGCTCAAGAAGACGAGGTCATCAAATTAACAAAAATAATTATATACAAAGATTATTTTTACAATTATATTATTAGTCGGTGGACGAGTGGGTAAAGCCCTCGATTCCCGACAGCCATGAACCGGTATTGAATCCCGTGTTGGACCCTTTGTTTTAATATGTGAATAACCTTCACATATTATTCATTGTTGTAAATATCATAAACTAGGTTTCTCTTTTTGAGCGGTACCTAATAAAGTGATTTTGGAACAATTATATTATTATATCAATACCTTTGGGTCCCCGGAATCGATGGTCTTTGAGAATATTGTCCTTGGTTTTGGTAGAGTATTTTTCTGGCTCTTGTTGGACCCTTATTGAAAGACACATGAGAGGTATATACACACTGGGCTACAAGTGTGAACAAAATTGCCTCCGTCTACTTAAAAAAAAAAAACAGACGCGGATTGGCGACATCAAAGACTCCCCCTTCCTAAAGTTTTGTCCTTGAGTGTATTTATTACTAATATGAGTTGTTTCATAAAAAATTCCTTCGTTCAAATTATAATCCGCCGAAAGAAACAGAAATATAATTTGACTCTGTTAATAGGCTTAATACACATTACAGAATAGGAATATATTTTATTAAATAAACTTTCCTTTAACAGGCAGTTTTCCCCAACAGTCTTAGGAAATTAAGAAAAAGGCATCTCTTTGATGGCTTGTGCTATCAGTAACTTTCAGTTTAACGAAAAGGAAATGCCTTTTTATTAATTTATTTACCTTATCCCAGTACAATTTCACATTTTTTTACTATTTTTCATATAGTTTAGGAAAGCTTTAATTCCGGCATCAAAGTAAAATCGTGGCCATGAAGAAAACCTCCCATTAACCTCTTTATCCAATCGTATATTGTGGATGGCTTCTTCTCATGCTTCTCTTTTATGTAGCCACAGGGACTTATGGACTTTACTACTTCGCTGTAGATGGTCGACATCCTCTGAATATCCGTTGAGGTGAATCTACCTGCCCATAAAACCGTGTCACAGCTTTCTATGGTTTAGACGGAGGAACCATACTGTGTATCATTTCGAGCGAAGTAATTTTGCCTGAAAAAACTTATATTTCCATCAAAATTTAGTCTAAAACACATATAGAATTTATAGAAAGTTGGAATCCTCTGATGATTATAAGTAAAAGATTTGAAGCGAACGAGGATACTTTTCTTTTAAACTTTAACAAAGATTCGAGCTTTCGGGCCTATTACCCTTCTACAGGACTACACTCCAACAAATAAATGTGCATCTTATATATGTATCAGAAAACTAGGAAAATTAACATATGTAAGTAAAAAAAAAAATAATTATAAGATATATCTATAAGTTTTGAGTATGCTTCATTTTACCAATATTCCGAGGGGAAAAGGCCTCTCTCTATCGATATTGTTTAGTATTCAAACTGAATCATCAACAGCAGTGTTTTAGCTTGAATTATAAACAGCCTCGGTAAAGAGAGGCAATTTGTGTCATTTGAAGAATATATAGATGAAAATGATAATTTGGATTACTCCAATATATAAGTCAAATATGTCGGCACTATTTTTTCATCCCACCAAATACATTGTTAGTATTTGTGTCCAGGTGTATAATATATATATTTAAAATTGTTCAATATTCGTCAAAAACATTTGGAATATATATGAATTTCATAGAGAGTGGAACCTTTTGAAACAAAGAATGATCCAAGGACTATTTTTCAGTTTTTTTTTCTATGGTTTAAAATAATTTAGCTCTTCTCAATATATAGAATCGCCCTTAAATGAAATCAAATTTACGTTGTTACGACGATGTTAACATTTCAGTAGAAGGCAGTTGTCCAACCTTTTGTAATCAAGTTGTAAAATAAACTCAATGATGAAATTAGAGCCATCTCGTTTTCAGAATGATATATTCGAAACTAACACTTTGTTAATTGTATTGTTGTTCTCGTTTTAAATCGCAGGGGTTGATGCTAAAGAATAACCTAACATACACCCAAACGTCACTCATTGTGTATGGTTGATTTCGTTGAACAATCGCTGGGATTTAGGCTAACGAATAACCTAACATACACCCACACGACGCTCATAGTGTATGGTTTATCTCGTTAAACGACCGCTAGGATTGAGGCTAGCGAATAATTTAACATACACTCAAATTGTGTATGTCTTTTTAAAATTATTCCTAGTACACGTGGTACAGGCCATGATAATCATGGTGGGTAAGAAGTTGGAGACTGCTTTTACTTTAACTGTACCTCATGTCTACACATGTGAAAATCAGGCTGTGTATGCGTATGGCTGAATTATTTAAACAACCTCTGGGGTTGAGGCTAACGAATAATCTAACATACATTCAAACAACGCTCATTGTGTATGTCTTTTTTTAATTATCCCTAGTACACGTGGTACAGGCCATGATAATTATGGTGGGTAAGAAGTTGACGACTGCTTTTACTTTAAGTGTACCTCATGTCTACACATGTGAAAAGCAGGCTGTGTATGGCTGAATTATATAAACAACCGCTGGGGTTGAGGTTAACGAATAACCTAACATACAATCTAACGACGCTCATTGTGTATATCTTTTTTTTTTAAATTATCCCTAGTACACGTGTAACCTACCATGATAATCATGGTGGGTAAGAAGTAGGCGACTGCTTTTACTGTAAGTGTACCTCATGTCTACACATGTGAAAAGCAGGCTGTGTATGTGTAAGGCTGATTTAGTTAAACAACCGCTGGAGTTGAGGTTAACGAATAACCTAACGACGCTCATTGTGTATGGCAGATTTCGTTAAAAATCCGCAGGAAGCTAACGAATAACCTAGCCGTCAATCTAAAGTAGTCCATTAGTTCATTGTGTAGAGATGATTTCGTTTTCAACCTCAGAAGTTGAGGCTAGGAGATACACCAACGTACATCGTTCATTGTAAGGAAGATAGTCTTATAACCTACTGGCTTGATACCAAATGGCTGTATCTGTGGAAGCTAAGCAACAGCATCTTGCTGTGGACAGCTATCGTTGAGCCCACTTCCTCTTCCTAGAAATATCTTTATCGCTTCCTGCCTCCATCATTATTTTGTCGGCAGCCCTCTCTCACACAGCTTTTATTTCTTAAAGTACAGTGCAAGGTACTGGCTCGACATCCTTTTCGTAACGGCTTTAGGGACATTTGTACACTCCTTGTTATATTGCCAAATATGTAATAATACATATGTCTATTATAGCTTTATTCTGAGACGTAACTAAAGATAATAATTACCATTTTATACCAAATTAAGATGGAATTCCTTTTCATAAACTAAAAAAATATATATATTAGTTAAAACACCCAAAAACTAAAGACTTTTATGAATTAATAAATAATATTGCTATTTATTTGTGTAAAATATTAATTGCTATTTCCTCAAACCTAAATTACTATAGGTATGTAAACGTCTTTTATAGGTATACATTCTTTTTATTTTAGAATTTTTCGTAAAAATCTTCAGAATCTATACACCAAATATAGCTTTGTAACCTGGAAAATGAATGTAATCTAAAAATGTTTATCTATTATTGCGTTAAAAACTTCACCAAGATAGCCATTTTATCGCCTTTCGATATGAAAGAAAGGTTTAAGAATCTTGCTGTGTTTTTGACATATTCACATATATCCTTAAGTAAAGGTTAAAAGTGAAACATTCTATTGAATAAAAATGATTGGTTATATGACATCTGAAAGTTTGAAAAAACAAAGCAAATAATTGGATCTGAAGTTATTCAACTGACTACCTAAAGAAAAAAAATGATGTAAACTTTTTTTAAAAATATGGAATATAGATTCCTGTTCCAAAATAACTTTATTAAGTACCGCTCAAAAAGAGAAACCTATCTTATGTTATTTACAATGAATAATATGAACAGGTTCTTCACAGAAAAAAAGTGTGAAATGCAGGATTCGATCCCGGTTCATGGCTGTCGACGGTGTATACCGCCGGCCACCAACTCTTCTTTAATATAGCTTTAATAAAATAGACAATTTTCACATTAACAATTCTATTTTGAGGAATCGCTCATTAAAATATAAAATATATATGCCAAAAAAGAAGTAACGCTTTCTCTTT